TTGTCTGTCTCTGTACCTATACTATGCTGGTTTTTTCTTTTCTTTTTTTTTAAAACATCACTATTGCTCTGTAATGTAGCTTGATGTCAAGGATTGTGATTCCTCTAGAAGTCCATTTATTTTTAAGAAATGTTTTCTCTATCCTGGGTTTTTTGCTTTTCCAGATGTTTTTGAGAATTGATCTTTCCATATATTTGAATAATTGTGTTGTGATTTTGATGGGTATTGTATTGAATCTGTAGATTTTCTCTAGTAGGATGGCCATTTTTATTATGTTAGTTCTACCAATCCATGACTATGGGAGATCTCTCCATTTTCTGAGCTCTTCTTCAATTTCCTTTTTGAGAGACTTTAAGTTTTGACATATAGATCTTTTGCTTGTTTGATAAGTGTTACCCCAAGATATTTTTTATTATTTGTAATTATTGTGAAGTTTTTCGCTTCCCTAATTTCTTTCTCAGCCTGTTTATTATTTATAGAAAGGAAGGCTATATCCAACCACTTTGCTAAAATTGTTTATTAGCTGTAGAAGTTCTATGGTAGAATTTTTGGGGTTGTTTATGCATACTATCGTATCATCTGTAAATAGTGATATCTTAACTTCTTCTTTGCCAATTTGTATCTTCCTTATCGTTTTTTGTTGTCTTACTGCTCTAGCTAGAACTTTGAAACCTATATTAAATATATATGGGGAGAGTTAACATCCTTGTCTTATCCCTGATATTGGTGGGATTGCTTCAAGTATTTCTTCATTTAATTTAATATTGGAAGTTGGTGTGTTATATATTGCTTTTATTAGGTTTAGTTATGGACCTTGAATTCCTGGTCTCTCCAATATTTTTAACATGAAGTGTTGTGTTTTATCAAATGCTTTTCAGCATCTAATGTCATGATCATGTGATTTATTTCTTTCAATTTGTTTATATGGTAGATTATGTTAAAGGCTTTTCATAAATTGAATCAATCTTGTATCCCTGAGTTGAAGCCTACTTGATCAGAGTGAATGATGATTTTCTCTGTTCTTGGATTTACATTTTGAGAATTTCATTGAGTATTTTTGCATCCATATTTTTTGTCTGAATTTGTATTTTTGTGTTGGGTTCCTGTATGGTTTAGACATCAGAGTAATCATATCTTCATAGAATGAATTAGTTAACATTCCTCTGTTTCTATGTTATGGAATATTTTGAGGAATATTGGTATTAGGTCTTCTTTGAAGGTAGGGTAGAATTCTGCACTAAAGTCATCTGGCCCTGGGCTTTTTTTTTTAGGTTGAGGGATTTTTAATGATTTCTATTTCCTTTGGGGACATTGGCCTGTTTAGATAGTTTACCTGGTCTTGATTTAACTTTGGTATTTGATATCTATCCAGAATATCATCCATTTTATCTAGATTTTCCAGGCTTGTTGAGTATAGGCTTTTGTAGTAGGAGATGATGATTTTTTAAATTTCCTCAGTTTCTATTATGGCTCCCTTGATTTATTTTATTTTATTTTCTGGGGGGTTTGGACACTGTCTCTGGACCCTTTAGTTAGTATGTAGTTTGGCTAGGGTTTTATCTATCTTGTTGTTTTTCTCAAAAAAAAAAAACAGCATTTGGTTTTGTTGATTTTTTGTATAACTTTCTTTGTTTTATTTGATTGATTTAGGCCCTGAATTTGACTATTTCCTGTCATGTACTCCCCTTGGGTGTGTTTGCTTCTCTTTGTCCTAGAGCTGTCCAGTGTGCTGATAGGTTGCTAGTATCGAATCGCTCTGATTTCTTTTTTTTTTTTTGTGAAGTAATAATAGATCTTTGTTGGAAGTTGGTAGGATATTTTTCTTTTGTTGAAAATCAATTCTTTTCTCATACCACATATCCTGATTATAGCTTGCCCTACCTTCCTCCTATCAGTTCCTCCCCACCTCCTCTACTTTCCTGATCCATCCCTTTCTGCCTTTTATGAGAAAAGAACAGACTCCAAAGAAGGAGCTTCCAAATGTGACAAAATAAATTATAGTAAGATGAAGTAAAAGTTATGATACTGAAGTTGAACACACTAACCCAGCAGGAGATAAAGGGTTTCTAGAACAGGCACAAGTGTCAGTGAACCACTTGTTAAGTGTCCCATAAAGGTATTAAGCTAATAGCTAAAACAAAGCTTTAGAATATCTGGTGTAGTCCCATGTTGGCCTGGTACTTGAGTTTCAGTCTGGATGAGTTCCTATGGCCATTGTTTAGTTAGTTCAGAGAGCCTAGTTCCCCAGGTGTCCTTTGTCCCCTTTTATCATCATTGTGTCTCCTGTTCTACAGGAGTATCTAATGGAGGTGACTGAAGCATGGAGGGAAACAGTGAGAGCCATGAAGAGAGGATCAGTGGTAGGGAAACATCAGGGAAGAAGTTGGGTTAAGTTGAGAGGGCTAGCTGAGACATTGCCCCAGCAAAAAGTCAACAGCATTAAACTATATAGATGTCTCTGTGTCATTATTAGTAAAATTCCAATAGGACCTCAAAAGCCTTGCTATAATCCCTGAGCTCTGAGTAGAAGGAAGTGATAAGAGCTCCAATTTAGAGAAAATCTCTGCAAAATATCTGGTTGTGGGTCTGTGCATCTGTTCACGTCTGCTGCTAGAGGAACTCTTCTGATGATGAATAGATAAGACCCTGATGTTTAATCACAACTGAATTTCTTTACAAATTATTTGAGTTTTTTTTAAGGTCATCAATGTTTTCTTCTACTCTGGGTCTCTAGGCTACCTAGGCTCTGATTCTTAGTTCCCTGAGTACTGTTAGAAATGGGTTCAATCTAGTAGAATAGGCTATAAGTCAAAACAGTCATTGGTTGGCTACTCTCCAAAATTCTGGGTCACCATTGCCCTAGCATAGACAGATTGCCTAGGCAAAACATACTGTAGGTCAAAGATTTTCTTACTGAGTTATCTGTTTCTCTTTTAATAGCCTGCAGGGTATCATCCCTCACAAAATACCTGGAATTTAGGGAAAAGCCTCTATGTAGGCACCAGCTGACTTTTCCATGTTCAGTGAATTGTGTGGTTATTGTCACCAGCGATGGGTCCACTGTCTTTTTGCAGATAGCATTCCTTTTCTCAGCACAAGCCTGAGGTGTTGGATGATCTCCATGGGACCATATGCCAAAAACTCAAATAAATGCAAACAAGTTCTCCCACTGGAAGCTTTTCATGACTAGAGGAGATGACCAGTTGAGACTCTGTATTCCCCAATACTAAAACTCCTCATTAGGAACACCATCACACTTTCCATATCATTTCCACTGTGTTAGGTTTACAATCCCCCAAATGGTTCCCCAATTCTAGCTATCTCTGCCCCATCTCACCACTTGCATGAGCCTCCTTCTCCATCACATCTCCACCTGTCCCTGCTCAGCTGATAAAATCTACTTAACTTCTTCCTCCCAGTAAAATCCAAAAGATCTTCTAAATCTCTGTCTCTCAACATTCCGAATGCTGTGACCGTTTATCTAATATAGTTTCTTATGTTGTGGTAACTCCCAACTTTAAAATTGTTTTACTCTTACTTCTTAGCTGTAATTTTGCTACTGTTAGGAATCATAATGTAAATAGTTCATACACAGGATATCTAATAGGGAATCACTCTGAACTAGCCATTTAAGCTCAGAGTGGTGTGTCTGTAGAAGTAAATATTTGAGGGGGTGGTCTATGGCCCCTTTTTTTCCAAATAACTGTAGAGGATTTTTATGTCAGTTCTAATCCATTTTCTCTCTCAGAATCAATACTCAGACGATATGAAGCCCAAGAAGAAGGAATATCAAAATGTGTATATCTCATTGCTTCTTAGGAGGGTGAGCAAAGTACTCACATGAGGAAAAACGGAGACAACAGGTGGATCGGAGACTGAAGGTAAGGCTGTTCAGAGATTGCTCCACTGGGAGATCCATTTCTTATACCTGGACACTATTGTGGATACTGGGAAGTGCTTGCTGATAGAGGCCTGATATAGATGTCCCCTGAGAGGCTCTGTCCGAGCCTGACAAATCCTGAAGTGGTTGCTCTCAGTCAACCATTGAACTGAGTGCTAGTTCCCAGGTGGAGGTATTGGAGAAGGGACTGAAGCAGCTGAGGGGGTTTGCAGCCCCATGGAGGGAGCAACAGTGTCAACTTGCCGGATTCCAAGGAGCTCAAAGGCACGGGACAAGCAACCAAATGATTCACATGGAGGGATCCGTGGCTCTGGCCACATATGTAGCAGAGGATGGCATTGTTGGTCATAATTGGAGAAGAAGCCCCTTGGGCCTGGAGGTGTTTGATGCTCCAGTGTAACGGAATTCAAGAGAGGGAAGAATGAAGTGGATTGGTGGGTAGAAGAGCACCATCATAGAGTGAGAGGGAGGTGGTTTGAAATGGAGGTGTCTGAAACAGAGACCTGGCTCTTACTTGAGGGCTGGAAGGTCCTAGCAGCAGCTGGTCCCACACTGTTCATCTCAGTGGTGGACTAGAAGGCCTGAAGCTTATGCCTGTTCCTCTTTGTCTGTGTGCCTTATACTGTGAGTCAGTAATGTTGAATGAATTTCTTCTTATTCTGATTGTTCTCTCTACAATGCTGTATCTCTCTCTTTCTCATTCTCTGATTCTGTTTCCTTTTCCCTTTACTTGTCTGTGTGCTTGTGTGTGTGTCCACATGCATATGGATGTGCAGACATACAGTAGGTATATATTTCCTTCCACTCTTTGGGAACTAGGGTTCTGTGTTTTGGCCTGTGGATTGACCTGTATAACAGTTTAAAGGTGATGTGACTCCTGAGGTCTGGAATCCGCTCATGTAAACAGCACTCTCATTGCCTCTGTGGTGCCATGTGTCTGTACATTTGTATCTCTTTGACAGACTAGAAAACTGTGTTGATGACTGGTCTCATCTCCAGAATTATGTGCAATGAATGTCTACACACTATTAGTTATGGAGGATTTTGAGTCCCTGTTTTGAAATTAGGAAATATATAATCACAGGTTTCTGGTGGGCAAGGACCTGTGGCCTAGTCTCTTTAGAGCATAAGCTGCTAGACCTCCAGTTCAGGCCAGCTGAGTGGACACAGGGAGCCAGGGCACCCTCCATCTGGATGCCAAACTTCTGCTGTCCTGGGCCAGGATAACAAGTTTCCAAAGCTGGAGAAGATCCCCGTATGTAGAATGAAGAAATTGGCCTTCCAGGAGTAGGGTAGGACAGGACCCAGCCTGAGTTCATGTGTTCCTAAAAGCCCATGTTCATGGAGTTCTGTCTTACTGGGGCCAGACCCTATTACAGGCAAAATCCACTGTATGAAAAACTGAAGTTCAAGGAGAAGACGGTCATGTCATTTCTGAACAAATTAGAGATGGAGAACACTGAGTTCTGTGAGAACGTCCAGGAGCACAAGAAGGAGATTAACTTCTATAGGTAAGTGCAGGTCATGGAGGCTACCACTTGTGCAATGGCCATTTCTGCATTCCTTTGAACTGGAATGGAGAGTCTCCAGGTCTGGTTCTATCCCTTCTGCTTTTTAGCCTTCAGTGTACCTTGGGCCTTTTGGACTCAGTTTTCTTCAATCTGTAAGAGAACCTTAGTCCTCCCAGGGTTATCTGGGCATCCTCAGGAGCCTCTAAGATAACAAAATGAGAGGGTTCTTTTGCATAACTGGACCTATGGGGCTCAGGCAGGGTTTTACAGATGTGAGTGTGATGGAACACATGGATAGAATGCCCTCCTCTTAGTTCTCCTGACCTCCAATGAGGGTATTTTCACCCTACTACTTGATGTTGCTGCAATACACTGGGCTGCCATGGAGATTCCTCTTTCTTTGGAGAGGCAGATAGATGGTGATACCTCTTTCTTTTGGGGAGACATGGAGCCTTATTTGTGTTTGGGCTACAGACATGATTAATTCTTACCTGCATTGGCTGTTTGCTGTTTGTGCAGTGTCATGGATATATTGAAATATATTGTACTATGTCTTCCTGGGAACCTGGGCCCTGGTGGGGTAATGGAACCTATAAGTAGGAATGGGAGGAGGAGGTTGCAGGATCTTAATAACCTTAGTGTGTTTCCAGAAACCTGCAAAGTCGGCTCCTGTTGCAGTCCTCTGTTGTAAAGAAGTCATTGGTCAAAGTGAGGCAGGATTGCAAGGAAGTACAGGCTGATTCGTACCTTCTCCAACAGTACTTGACTGAGTTGAACCTGAATGTTGAAGATGAACAGCAGAAGACCAACAATCTCCCAAATCAACAACAGCAGGATAAGGTACGGATAAGCACCTTATTCAGACTAATACTGTCTGATATCATTTGCCCATTGAATCCATCTTTGCATTGATCCACCGTCTTTCAAATCCACACCCCCAACCAGCCACCCACTTCACGGACTTTAGTTCTTCATTACTCTGTCTATGCACAAGTATTCTCAGTAGTTCAACTCTTGGGAGACACTGAATTATTGACAAGTCTATCTTGCTACTCTTCTTACAGCGACAGTCTAGTAAGGGTAACAGGTGAATTACACATCACACACTTGCATGATCTTATAATAGGTGGGTTGGTATGCAGAGGTTTGAGAAAGTTCTAGGTCTTGTGACAGGAGTTGTGCAGGGGTCATGTGTCCTCTCAGGTAAAAATAACCTTGCAGAGAGTAAATCCAAATGCAAATATCAGATGAGAGCTTCTCATTGTCAGTTGTCTGGGTGGCATGTGGCCTTCTCCTTTCTCCCTGCAACTCAATCAGTTCTCTCCCCATTGCCCAGTTCATGGTTTGCACTGATAGAAGTCTGAGTGGCAGCTTGTCAGCCCATGTGTTTGTGAGTTTTGCTTGAAATTTTGCCCTGCTTGTACATTTAGCAGCAAGCTTTTTAGTTAAAAGATCAGTTTTGATGTCTAGTTGAGGTGGTGGGAGGCAGCAGCTGACATCTGACATGCATGTCCCCACCAACCTTGTGTCTTAATAACTGCCTTCCTCTCCCAGGTCTCAGAAACTGCAAGAGAGCTGGAATTGGACACATCCCAGGAAGAAAGCCTCCTGCAGAATGAGTTGCCACCTCAGGAGCCCCCTGCTGAACTCCCTCCTCAACAACCACAGACTTCTTTGGATGAATCTCCTTCCTCATAGTTCATTTCCACAGTGTGGATGGGCCCAAATTATGCAGCCAGTGAGACAGCCAGACAGATTCAGGGTCTTTTTCTCTTTCCTGTGTGACCTCTTGAGAGAGAACTGAGGTGACTACAGTACCAGCAAGTGCTGAAAATAAGAAACTGACTGTAGTCTGTTCTGCTAAATGTGCAGTGAGGGAATGTCCCTTCACAATTTTTTCTGTTAAGACTTTTGGTTGAAATTTTGATTTGCATGGTTTTGTTTTTTCTTATGTTATTTATTTATTTTTTTTTTGTTTTTATTTTTTTTTTAATTTCTTTTTTTTTTTGAACATGAAATGCTTTTTTATAGCATGTTTTACAAGGGGAGGGGGTAAGAGGGTCCAGGTGGTGGAAAAGTACAAAATCTTATTGGCCTGTGCCTTGAAACATGTCATGGTCTATATGGTACACTGCCTTGAATTATGATCTACCTGCAGTTCTTCAGAAGATATGGTACACTGCTTGAGTTATGGTCTCCCTGCTATTCTTAAGAAGACATGGTACTCTGCTTTGAGTCTATCTGCAGTTGCTAAGCAGGATCTTGCAGCTGCCAAGCTTCAGAGGACATTGTGCAGGTGGGGAAAGGTAGGGGGTAAGGGTAAGGGCGAGGGTCCTGGCTTCTGGCCTCTCCCCTTTCTCTGTTTAGTTAGAGAAGGCGTCTTATGTTCAATCCCAACTATGTGAGTTTTGAATTTGGATGTCTAATTATGGGGGGTCTTAGACAAGTTCACGACCCCAAAACACTGATGTGAGACAAGTCACATCGATGGTTGAAGGCTTTAGGCTGTCGACGATGGGCAACGTCAAGGGACTCTGATGTGGGTGAAAGGAGGGTGAGAGCCCTGTCTTAGGCCATGTAGGCTGCACCCACTCCCAGCACCACGCACTCCTTTTCGGCTGCATTGGGTGGGCCCCTGGGAAGTGGACCTACAATAATCCCGTCATTGGGCTAACTCACAGCCATCCTAGTCTCTTGTAAATGTTCAAGTTACCAACCATTTGTCAGTTTGGGGTGTAATATTGTCATAAAGGAAGGCTCCCCAATGTTAGCGGCCATATCAAGGGTGGCCTTGGTTTAGGAAAAAGCCAATTTTTGTTGTGGTGATCAAGAGGCCAAGCTCTCTAGCGAGAGAAATGAGGGCAAAGCCAGGCATACCAGGAACCCTTCTGGAGGGCGTGGAAGTCTAGGGGTCGACCGTAGGGGGAGGCAGGGGAGCTGACAGCTGTGTCAGTCTCCTGCGGAGTCACTTCTGGATCCTCTGCAATTTTCAGCTGATGGTAATGAACTTCAACTGCCTTCTTGATGGCAGCATCAACCTGGTTCCGTGGACGACAGGTCACGGGCGATGATCTCTGTCTTGCTCAATCTTGATGTCGTGCGCACATCCTCTCAATGAGGGTTCGTCCGGATGGGTCCGTGCCTCGAGCCCCACGTCTGGGTGCCACTTGACCCGACCGGCAGGTTCTGGTTATTCGTGGGGGCGAGGAGGACTGCAACCTGCTATTCTTCAGAAGATATGGTACACTGCTTGAGTTATGGTCTCCCTGCTATTCTTCAGATGATATGGTACACTGCTTTGAGTCTATCTGCAGTTGCCAAGCAGGATCTTACAGTTGCCCAGCTTCAGGGGACCTTGTGCAGGTGGGAAAAGGTAGGGGGTGAGGGTAAGGGCGAGGCTCCTGGCTTCTGGTCCATCTGGGTTAGAACTTCTAATAGCAGTCATCACGGGTGATTCAATTTTACCTGGAAAGAAAAAAGAAGGGGATTCTCAGGGAGATTTCTCTTCCCTGGATGTAAATTGTTATTCATCGTATTTATGATTGGGCCTGGCTTTGTGAGGGTATCTATTTTTTCATTAATATTTGTGGTAGCCGGTTAGCTGTGCCTTCTGTGGTATTGGGCAGGCATATCAGTCCTCGGCTCCATAAGGGAACTGGGACTGGGGCATTCCCTTTATGGGTATGAGGGTCCTTCCCCATATCTGTGGCAAAGTTTTGTTGGTCTTGGTGGTGCCCGAGGTTACCAACATGGTCAGCAAGAGATTTGCCATGAGCTTTCAGCTTTAGAGAGAGAAAAGTGAACAAGGCATGATGGAGAGTATTTCAGGGGGACTCCTTCTGAGGGGGTACCGTTCCCCCTCTTTTGTTTTTAAAGCCAATTTTTCAGAGTTCTTGTAAAATCAGGGCAGAACCGCCAACAGTTGCTCCTTCCACACTCAGAGAGTCATGAAGGCCTTATTTAAGGATATATAAATCTATATTAATAATCTTTTGTCAAAGGACTTTTATAGCTCCACTGACAATTAATCAGACTATATGATATATCGATTAGAAATAGCTTTTTCTACTTTTTGTGAGATTACCTCTCTTTTGTCAATTAACTGTTGAGGAAGTTAGGGTTTACCTCTCTCTTGAGAATATTGAACAGAGATTTAAATTCTTTTGTGGAGAGCTTAAAATAGTATCTTAGCCAATTTGCATCTCCTAGAAACTTTTGAAATTAATTTAAAATAAATAGACTCCCTTTTTTTTAAATCCTTTATCTGTGTGGGGTTTTTATTGGGTATTATATGTATTTACCTTTCAATGTTGTCTCCTTTCTCATTCTCGCCCCAAATCCCTTATCCCCTAACCCTTCCTCCTAATTTTTGTGATGGTGTGCTCCAAACATCCTCCCAGTCCTATCTCCCTGCTCTCGAATTCCAACACAGTAGGGGATCCAAACTTTTGGGGACCTTGGCCCTCCACTTTCACTGGAGTCTAACAAGGTCACCCTCAATTCCCTATACAGGTGCGTGAGTCCCTCCCTTTGTGCTCTCTGGTTGGTGGTTTAGACTTTGGGAGTTCTGGTTGAAACTTTTGATGCTCCTTCTAAAAAGGACCAATGCATTCATACTTTGGTCTTCCTTCTTCTATGTGAGTTTTATGTGGTCTATATGAAGATTCTTAGAAATTGTGAGCTTTTGGGCTAATATCCACTTATCAGTGAGTGCATACCGTGTATGTTCCTTTGAGATTGGGTCATCTCACTCAAGATGATATTTTCCAGCTCCATCCATTTGCCTAGGAATTTTGTGAACTGATTGTTTTTAATAGCTGAGTAGTACTCCATTGTATAAATGTACCACATTTTCTGCATCCATTCTTCTGTTGAAGGGCATCTGGGTTCTTTCCAACTTCTGGCTATTATAAATAAGGCTGCTATGAACATGGTGGAGCATGTGTCCCTGTTGTATGTTGAAACTTCTTTTGGGTATATGCCCAGGAGTGGTATAGCTGGGTCCCTAGGTAACGCTATGTTCAATTTTCTGAGATACCGCCAGACTGCCTTCCATAGTGGTTGTACCAGTTTACAATCCCACCAACAGTGCAGGAGTGTTCCTCTTTCTCCACATCCTCACCAACATGTACTGTCACCTGTGTTTTTGATCTTAGCCATTCTGACTGGTGTGAGGTGGAATCTCAGTGTTGTTTTCATTTGCATTTCCCTGATGACTAGGGATGCTGAACACTTCTTTAGGTGCTTCTCAACCATTCGAGCTTCCTCAGTTGAGAATTCTTTGTTCAGGTCTGTGCTCCATTTTTTAATAGGGTTCTTTGATTGTCTAGAGTCTAATTTCTTCAGTTCTTTGTATACCTTGGATATTAGCCCTTTATCAGATGTAGGGTTGGTGAATATCTTTTCCCAATCTGTTGGTTGCCGCTCTGTCCTATTGACTGTGTCCTTTGCTTTACAGAAGCTTTGCAGCTTTATGAGGTCCCATTTGTCAATTTTTGGTCTTAGAGCACAGGCCATTGGCGTTCTGTTCAGGAACTTTTTCCCTGTGCCTATGTATTCCAGGCTTTTTCCCAGTTTCTCTTCTATTAGTTTCAGTGTGGCTGGTTTTAGGTGGAGGTCCTTAATCCACTTGGAATTGAGCTTTGTACAAGGAGATAAGTATGGATCAATTTTCATTTTTCTACATGCTGACCTCCAGTTGGACCAGCACCATTTGTTGAAAATGCTATCTTTTTTCCATTCGATGGTTTTAGCCCCTTTGTCAAAGATTAAGTTACCATAGGTATGGGGGTTCATTTCTGGGTCTTCTATTCTATTCCACTGATCCTCCTGCCTGTCTCTGTTCCAATACCATGCAGTTTTTATCACTATTGCTTTGTAGTACAGCTTGAAGTCGGGGATGGTGATTCCTCCAGAAGTTCTTTTATTGCTGAGAGTAGTTTTCGCAATCCTGGGTTTTTTGTTATTCCAAATAAATTTTAAAATTGCTCTTTCTATCTCTGAGAAGAATTGAGTGGGAATTTTGATGGGGATTGCATTAAATCTGTAGATGGCTTTTGGCAAAATAGCCATTTTTACTATATTAATCCTTCCAATCAATTAGCATGGGAGATCTTTCCATCTTCTGAGATCGGCTTCGATTTCTTTCTTCAGGGGAATGAAGTTCTTGTCATACAGGTCTTTTACTTGCTTGGTTAGGTTCACACCAAGGTATTTTATATTATCTGTGACTATTTTGAAGGGTGTCATTTCCATAATTTCTTTCTCAGCCAGTTTATCTTTTGAGTAGAGGAAGGCTACTGATTTGCTTGAGTTAATTTTATATCCAGCCACTTTGCTAAAGTTGTTTATCAGGTTTAGGAGTTCTCTGGTGGAAGTTTTGGGGTCACTTAAGTATACTATCATATCATCTGCAAATAGTGAGATTTTGACTTCTTCCTTTCCAATTTGTATCCCTTTGACCTCCTTGTGTTGCCTAATTGCTCTGGCTAGGACTTCCAATACTATATTAAATAAGTAGGGGGAGAGTGGGCAGCCTTGCCTAGTCCCTGATTTTAGTGGGATTGCTTCAAGTTTCTCTCCATTTAGTTTAATGCTGGCTACTGGTTTGCTGTAAATTGCTTTTACTATGTTTAGGTATGGACCTTGAATTCCTGACCTTTCAAAGACTTTTATCATGAAGGGGTGTTGAATTTTGT